CAGAGAAACCTGGAGCAGCAGCCACAGCCTCATGGTGAGCAGCAGTGTTTGCAGGGTGGGACAAAGACATCAGCGTGCTGGGGTGGGGTCTGGTGGTCCTCTAGTCTGGGAAGAGCAGGAACCCCGAGAAGATGCTGTCGGAGATACCGATGCCCACCATGCCATTGTAGTCATTCACTTCCAGCCAGACCTGGTTCCCAGCATCCAGGTGGAGGAGGATCCCACCAGAGCTGGTCTGCACGCTGTTGGTCTTGTGATCGCAGAAGCTGGCCATCTTGCTCCCGTCTTTGTACAGCATGACGCAGAGGTTGGACGTCAGCGAGGTGTGGAAGACAAAGTAGTAGAGGCCAGGGAGCTTGCAGGTGAACTTGCCCGTGGTGGTGTTGTAGTCGTGGTTGGTGTTGGTGATGACATGGTTGAACACCACGGGGACATTCCTCAAGGGGTTCTCACCGGTCTGCCTCGTCACGGAAAATGCTGACTGGTGCTTCTGCTTGTAGATGCCTGGCATACCTGGCTCTCCAGGCATGCCCATCACGCCAGGGTCTCCAGCTGGACCAGGGGGACCCTTGGGGCCATTCTTGCCTGGCAAGCCAGGGCTGCCTGGGTCCCCTTTCACGCCCTTGGGCCCTCGTGTTGCAGGAGGGGCTGGGATGCCTGTGGGGTGGTAAGGAGTGAGATGGAGTCAGCATCCCTAGGGCAGGAGGGGGCTATTGCCTCCCTCCAGCATCCTCTCCTCCTGCCCTGCCCACAGGATGCCCTCTATGGCCTGCAAACCTGGCCAAACAGAGCCACAGAGGACTTGGTGGACCCCCTTCAACAGCCTGCATCGTTCCCCTCCTTGCTCACTCACCTGGCTCGCCTTTGGCTCCCTTCAGTCCATCCCGGCCATCCTTTCCCGGCATACCCGGCAGGCCTGGCAGGCCTGGAGCCCCATAGCAGCTGTGAGGGACATCTTCAGTCACCACAGACCCAAGATTTAGGAGTAGGAGGGCAAGGGCCAGATGGAGATGCTCCCAGAAGCTCTGCCCCATTTTATTGCTCTAGAGCATGGAAAAGGAAAGAAAGTGCTGGGGTGAGGGGCTACAGCTGGGTGTCCTACAGGCCATGGAGCAAAGGAGGTCCTGTGCTATGAGGCTGACTGCCCCTGGCTGTGCCTCCCCCACCCCATACCAATTGCCAGGAGCTGGGGAGGTGGGTATGTGGAGATGGACCCTCAACTCCTCACCACTTCCAGGGCAGTTCTGATGGCACAGGCAAGGGTTGGACTTCCAGTCTGAATGGAATTGTGAGATCTTGTAGTACCTATGGCCAGCCCAAAGCTCTCCCGATCCAGTGTCCTGAACCCTCTGCAGGTCACATGCTGCTGCGGGTCATTGCACGGTGCTGTGCTGAGGCTGGAGCACCCCAGACCCAGCTGATCTCACCCCTCCTCCAGCAGCAGCCTGGCTTTCCTCGGTCTGCCCACCAGGATCAAGGCCCTCCCATCACCTGGGGATCTCCCTAGGACAGTGCCCGGCCCAGGGGATTGGGTCTTCCCCCAGCAAGGACAAGCATGCATCCCCCGCTGTGACATGTGCGCAGCCCACCAGCCCCTCTGTCTCCTTGCCCTCCTCCTCCTCTCACACAGCCCAGTGCCACACCATGCTGCTGGACCCCCAGCCCCCATAAGCCCACCCTGAAGAGATGGACCCTGCAGCAGCTCTTACCTCTGGTGGGAGAGCAATGCACAGGGTCTTGCGCTGCTGTGGGCAGGGCGCCGCGTGGATCACTCTCCGTGACACCCTCTCAGAGGAAGTCGTCAACTTAGGAAAGGGCCCTTGGGGACCCAGAACACCCAGCTGGCCCCCACACAAGTTTCACATCCTCCTGCCTGATTGTTTCCTCTGAGCAAGCACTTGCCTGGCCGTTCCACGAAACCTGTGCTCGTGCCACTGCAGCAGCAGGGACTGGAAGGACAGAGGTGGAATGAGCCTCTGCCAAGACATGTGCCACAAACCCTCCAGGCACCACAGGAACCTCCACAGATCATCTGCCTTTCATCCGTCCTTAACTCATTTCTGAGCAGAAGGGCAGAGAACAGATGTGGAGCAGAGCGTCATGCCAGCTCCTTGGAGCCAGAGACACCTGTGAGACAAAGGGCTGGTGCAAGGTGGGAGATGCTGCTCCCCCAGGCAATAGGACTGAAGGATGTTTCTCCTTGAGGATTTCTTACCTTTCCCTGTGCTCCACCAACTCTGCTAGTTGTTGGATTTGCTGGGGGCCCCAGCATCCCTGGTTGGGGTGTTGCTCCTTGCAGCTCACCTGGCCTCCTCCTCGCCGCTCCAGGAATAGAGACATTTGAGTGCCCAACGTGTGTGTAGCAGCTCCTTTGAGTAGCAGTCCCAGGACGTGGCACCTGCATGGCTTCTCTGATGCTGTCTGGCTACCTGATACCTGCCCAGCCCACCAGACTGCCCACTAGCCTCACCTTAAACCAAAGAGAGAAGAGCATCAACTCATAACCCCATCACCAGCACCCCACAAGCTCATCAGTCACCCTGGTGTCCCTGTCCCTCCTTGCTGAAAGGTTGGAGGACCACAGCTCTCTTTCCCCTTCCTGGGAGAGCTTGGGTACCAACTGAGGAACATGTGGCTGAGGTGCATGATCTTCTGCCTGTATCTACTCTTGTGCTGGGCAGCTAGCTAGGACTCACGTGAGGAAGGACAGGCACAGGCTACCCCCAGAGATTCCCTGTTCCTCCCTGCTTGCACGCTCACTTCCCTCCTGTCCTTCTGCTTTTGCAGTTGGGGTCTGTGCGTGACTAAAGGCAACCTGGGGTTGCTTCTCTCCCTGGGCAGCTTGGGGGCCAGGACATAGATCATTTGGGGAACACACATGAATAGGAAAGAAAATCCAAGTGGTTGTGGTGGAGGAAGAGTTTATTTGTGCTGATGGGGAGGACATGAGAAGCAGAAGTGACCCGGCACCAAAAAGGCATTTGCAGTGGTTAGTGTGGCAGAAGCAGTGGCACACAGTGATTTCCCACAACCGGGCCCCGCTGGTGCAGGGTCTGAATGCCCAGGAGGAGAAAGAGCTGCTGGGGCCAGCAGCCCTTTGCCTCTTGGATGAGGTGGGCAGGGTCAGCACAGAGGTAACTGCTAGCAGTGGTGCCCCCCAGCCTGGCCACTTTGTGACACTGGTGGGAGCACAGGACCTGTCTAGTGGCTCTATTTGGGAACATCCCTGTTTGCTGTGGCACTAAACCATCTCAAGCACTCACGGGGGAGAACATGCACCCCGCGATGCTCTGGTGCTGAGCAGGTCCATCAGCCCATCTGAGGGAAGAGCATGAAGCCACTGAAGACTCTCGGAGCCGCTGTAAATCGTTCTGCCGTTGGCAGAGTCAGTGCTCACAAAGACCCGGTCACCCATGGACAGGCTGAGCACGGTGCTGCCTGAGTTCACCTGCAAGAGGTTGCGGCTGTTGTAATCGCAGAAGCTGACCACGCGCTCGCTGTTCTTGGTGATGCTCAGGCAGAGGTCGCCGGTGGAGACCACCTGGTAGGCAAAGTAGTAGAGCCCGGGGACGCGGCAGGTGAACTCCCCAGTCTTAGAATTGTAGGAGTTCTCGTGGTTGGTGATGATGTTGTCGAACACCACTGTCTTGCCTATGGTCTGTGCGGAGCTTCGCGAGGCCGAGAAGGCAGGATGCACCTGCTCCAGGATATTGCCAGGATTCCCCTTGTTCCCTTTTGGCCCCGGCATCCCTGGGGGCCCGGGGGGGCCTTCTGGACCCTGGTAGCCCCGTTTCCCTGGGATGCCAGGAAGCCCTGGCTCACCCGCGTCTCCTTTGAGTCCCTGGATGCCAGTCCTCTGTGCTGATTTCCCTGGGGAGAGAGAGTGAGCAGGAGCAGCTCATGCACTTCTGGCATCTCCCGAGCTGCTCTCACAGCCCGTGATGCTCCTACCAAAAGCCTTGAGGCTCCCAGGCCACCCGCACCACACATCCCCAGCTCCCCCTTACCTGGCTCTCCCACATCACCCTTCTGTCCTGGCCTCCCGTCGAGGCCAGGGACTCCTGGGAGGCCGTCTTTGCCATCCGGTGCCCGACAGAACTCCTGCAGCAGAGTCGTGCCCAGCACTGCTGCCAGGGTGCTGGTCACCAGCCAAAGCCTGGGCTGCATCTTCTCTCCCTACAAGCACAGGAGTGGAGGAATCGGGGATGGAGGTGAGCGCACGGATGTGTGTGAGGATGCTTCTTCCAGTGCTGGGGGAGCAAGCAGTGATGTACAGGGCATGGGATAGAGAGCAGAAGTGAGGAAAGGATACAGAGAGACATGACAGAGGAGGGATAAAGAGGAAAGGGATAAAGAGAAAAGGGATAGACAGGTGAAAGGGATACAGATCTCCAACACAGAGAGTTGGGATAGAGGAGGGATGTCCTGAGTGCACAGACCTACTCCAAAACCTGAGGTACTCGGCCTGGGACAAGCCGGCAGAGCCCAATGATGTCCACAACCACATGGAACAAGGACAGATTCCTGCAGCTCCCTCCACGCGCCCCCCCTCCCCCAACTCCCCCCATCATATTTTCCTATTTTAAACCCCTGTGGAGTGGGAGAAGTGAAGAAAGGAGGGGGACGGGGAGCAAGGGCTGGAGAGGAGGCACGTGTCCCCAGCTCTTGAGGGTGACTTACCTCCTTGCTGGGGGTGAAGACAGCCTGAGCAGCCACTCCGCTTGCTGGAAGCTCTTTCCTGGGAGCAGGGAGGAAGAGGAGCAGGGTGGGGGGGACGTGCTCACGTGCATGATGGTTTGCCTGGTTGGGGAAGAGAAGTGCCAAGTTTCGTTTTCTCTGCACGAAAGAGAATCTCGTTCCCCTTTCCACGCTCCACCCTGGCTGTGCGGGAACAGCTCGGTCAGCAGAAGTGCAGAACCTCAGAGTTTCCAGCTGGGACTGGTGGTGACTGGGCACAAAGCAACACAAAGGTGGAGGGTGCCCAACCGCATGCCACAGCTCTGTCACCACAGGAGGGGACGGATGATGTGAGCATGACATCCAAGGGATGCTCGGCGTGGCCCAGAGGGTCACTCTTGATGTCTCCTGGTCTGCACCATTTCCGAAACAGTTGAAAAAGGGAATTACTAGCTTGAAACCAAAAATCAGCCCAGAGACCCTTGCCAGACAAAACACTCATCAGCGCATCTCCAGTAATAATCATCTATGGAGATCTGTCACTGAGCTGGTCTTTAATTCATCGAATATATGCCCTCTTAATGCAATATAATACACATTTTTAATCAAAATGTCACCCTGTAATAAATCAGATGCCCAGAAGAAATGCAATTTTATTTTATCAGTGGAGTTCTTCTATCAACCAGACCAGTAATCGTGTCAAGAAAAGCTGACAGGAAGGTTTGAAAAGACTCACCTTCCACAAAAAGGTGTTTCTGGACAGTAGTTGTATTTCTGCCCTGTTGCCCTTTCTTAATATACAGCCCAAATGAGACCACTCCATCATTTCATCCAGCATTGATCGATGGCTGTGTCTTAGTGCTCCTGTGTCCCTGACTGTCCCCTTAACCCCGTTTAAATGCCGAATTACAGCTTCCAGCACCTCCTAGAAGCTGCTGTTGGTCCAGTGGCACCTCCTCCAGGAGCCTGAGACTCCTGAGCAGTGCTCGCCTCCACTCACTTGACTTTCAGTGTTGCTGCAGTCAAACCAGGCCTTCCTCGCTCATCCTCTGAGCATCTCCTCCTCTTCCTCCTGACCTGAGCCTGGGACATCCACAGCTCCGGAGGGTGCAGGGAGCCACGCGTGAGCATCGCATGATGCCAGCCCGGAGGCTTCACACCAGCACAAAACCACCTCCAAACCGCCGCACTCCTCCTTCCCCTTCCCAGCAGGGGTGTCCGTGGGAGGGGGGACCCGGTGACGGCCGCGGCACAGGCAGCGGGGTGACACGCCACGAGGTGGCAGTGCTGCATCAGCCATGCCTGGTGTCACCTGCCCACCAGAGCTCGTCTTCTGCCTCCCAAAGCAGGGCTGGGGCCAAACCCTGGGGGTCCCCGTGGCCCCAGAGGCCGCCCCTGCAGGCTGCCCAGCTGCAGAGCGAGCCCGCGGGCATCTCCGCCCCGGCAGCTGGAGAGCCAGAATAACCCCGTGAGGCCACCCGGCAAGCTGGGAGCATCTGGCACCCCCCGAGACTACGGGAGAAGTGGTGGTTCCTCAGTGAGGAACAAGCCATGGTGGAAGGTGCAAGAGGTTGGGAAGCTCTGGTGGGTTATCCCTGCTGATACAGGTCCAGCAGCACCCCTCCAGCACCACCACTGGCGGGATCCAGCATGGAGAAGGGGAAGAGGTGATGGAGGGGAACCCAGATGCCAGGAAACAGGGTGAAGCCCAAGGCAGAAAGGAAGATGGGTGTACACTGGAATAGCCAGAGGATGTAGGCACTCTACAGAGCCCCAGGTGACACCAAATCCAGCCCCAAAGGGAACAGCTCTGGATCTGAAGGAACTCAACCACATTGGTGAGCATCCACAGCATTCGGCCACCTGTTGTGGCCTCCTGGCTCTGCTGCAGACCCTGGAGCAGCCTTGCTCCGGGTGGATTTCCCCTGAGCAAGCCTCCTCCTGCTGAGAGAGGCCACGGGGCAGCACCTTCACTTCCTTGCTGCCAGGCGAGAAGGGTCAGTGCCATCCCAACCTCACATCCTCTATGGAAGAAAAGTGTCTGCAAAGTCTCCCTGCATCCCCAGTGCCTGCAGGCACACACGAGCTGCCTGACAGCAGACAACAGGGAGAGATGCTCCACTGCTGTCTTCCCTGCTGGGGATCCCCTGGGGTGCTGAGCAGTGACAGGCAGGAGCTGCCAGAAGAGGACAAATCAGGTAGGTAGCACCTACCCATCACCATATAGGAGGCAGCGACAAAGGCAGGTCTGCTGCCAGTCACCAGCATCCCAGTCTGTCACCTGCACTCCCCAGGACAGGACAGCCCAGAGCAGCCATGCTGCTGCAGTCACCTGTGGCTTAACGATGCCCCAATAATTGTGCCAACTCATCCAGCAGCAGTTGAGCTGGTCTGCCCCAAAATGCTCAGTCCACGCTACTGGCCACCGGGCAACCTTGCTGTGCAGTGCCGCGGTGTTTGCATGGATTCTGAAGTCTCTCGTGCTTCGATCAACAAAATAAGAAGCTGAGGTCGTTTAGTGCCCTGGAAGGATTTCCTGAGATGTCAGCTGAAAATCGGGCTGCAAGGCCACTTGCCACACAATGTCTAAACTGTCTTAATTGCTGTCCCAGGGCACGTGTTATTCCTGTGATAGATGCTTATAGAGAGCAGGTGTGAGAAATGAAGACAGGTATGGGGTTTAAGAGCCAGAGTTTTACGTGCCAGCCCTCCCTCACTGTCTCCTGGCATTGATGCATATCTCTGTTGGCTCATGGGGTGATAGGACATAGATGAGTGCTGAGCAGCCCTGGGCAATGCTGGGAAAGCTTGTCCCATCCCTCCTCCTCTTGTTGTCTGTTAAGGACATCAAGGCTTGTCATTATTTGACACCCATTGGTTAATTTGGCTGATTGTTTCCCATTCTTTAATGTATCCATTATTTATTTATTCGCTTGTGTAAGAAGCAGTTCTGAATTGATCTCTTTGGCATGTAAATGAGCTGCTCCAGAGCTTGTCACTGGAATTTGTAGATTGGGAGAGTTTGCAATCAAACACAGCCGGAATCTAAATTGCAACATTTCAGGCAATAATAGCAGGGAGAAGACAGGAAGGATGTGCCATAAATAAGATGGGATCAGAGCAGGGTGCCCAGAGCTACGCTGACAACATGCCAGGAGCCCGGAGGCACAAAACTGAAGTCCCTGCTTTGCAGGGTGTGCCTGGCAAGGCTAGCTTGGCTCCTGGGCTGGTTCTCCAAGGGGAAAAAGACTAATAGAGGCAGCAATAGGGCTGGTTATCCTGGCATTGGGTAAAGTATGGACTACAGGCTGCAAGGAGCATCTGATCTATTGTAGGAGGTGCTGATTTGCTTGCCACCACAGCTCATGTTTGGCTTCTTCCCAACACTCAGAGCTCAACCCAAAGTCCATAGGTGCATCCAGGATGCAATTCTGTCCATCTCAAGGTCAGTAAGAGAGATTATCCAAGAGAAGGAAAAAGAGAACAAGGTGCTATAAGCCTTCCTGCAGGCAACAGGGAGGAGGAGGAAGCCAACCAGGACCTCAGCAGCGCTAGAGGAGAAGCACCTGTACCATTCTGTGGTAGGACTGAAGTTCAGCCTGGAGAACAGAAGGCATTGTGCAGCCTGGTCTAGTAGAAGATGTCCCTGTCCATGGCAGGGGGTTTGGAATGAGATTATCTTTAAGGTCCCGTCAAACACAAATCATTCTACAATTCTGTGATCCTATGGACCCTTGCTGCTTCCTGTGCATGACCTGATCCTGATGGCTGCCAGAGCATTGCAAGCCCTTCCCAGGCTAATCTCCATACCAGCGTCTGGTTTCCCTGACACAATGCTTTGAAAATGGAGTGGAAGTTTCCTGCAGGTGAGTGTTCATGTTAACTGGGTCAGTGGCAGCTGGAGGTCTGTGCCAGATGGAGGCTATTACAACTTATTTCTGTTACAACTCGCTTTCCACAGTGGCTTCTGCAGGAACTCGGCTGCCCTTTGACTGCCCTTGGCTGCTGGATCGATCCGAACATGCAAACTCACTTCTCCTGTCCCCTCAATTTGGGGGGTGCCTGATTGCTGCTTTGGAGGTCTGATTACCTTTGCTTCTGGCTGTCGGGACCCCAGCAGCTGCTTTGCAGGCACCATTAGCCAACCTCCAGCTTCACAGATCTGATGAGGAATATCCCAGCTAAGCTGCAGCAACACCTGACATTCCCAAGGAGGGGATGTATTCAGCCTCTGGTAGGCTGGAGGCCCCTCTGGCCAGTGCTTGAGCTCTTCAGCAGCAAAAGGGTTTGATTCCAGCAGGTACTGCCTGAAGTACTTTTCCTCCTCCCCGCAGACAGAGGTCAAACCTGCATCCTTGCTGCCAAATCAAAAGCAAGTCGATCAACATCTAGGAGGCAACTGCAGTCCTTGGTGAGCCTCTGTGTGGAGGGCAGTGGCATGGCAGAAGGTCACAGCTGCTGCTCAGCACACACCTGAACCTCCCAAGCAC